TTTTTTTTTTGTGGAACCGGGGATTGAACTCAGACCCTTGTGCTTGCCAGGGAAACGTTTATTCCACTGAGCCATCTCCCTGGCCCCTATCCAAAAGATGTTTTTAAATCGAGTTGATTAAATAGATGGCCAATGCTTAGACAATAAATAATATGTCCATTGTTCATATGCACAACAAATGACAAGAATCTTAGAAGCAGATTATAAGCTCATCTTTATGTCTTTGTGTAATTTCCCAGTCTTCTTGTCAAAGAAGCAAGTGCCTTAAAAAAAAAAAAAGAACAGAATAGAAGATTAACCAGTTTTATTGGTACACTGTCCCTTTAGACAATGAAGTCATAGATGTGATTTGTAAATTTTTAGTGTCTCTGAGGGAGGGGTGTGGCAAGCACTAGTAGCATTTTGCCAAAGCAGAATAATAATTATTTAGAGAATATAGCAAAAATATATACTCTTGTGTCTACGTATTTAAAATTTCCCAAACTTCAAGCTTTCTGGAACTTTGAATGGTTTTTCTATTTCTTCATCAGAGAAAAATTCATTCCCAGCTGTGGATTTCAGGCCTCTACCCTTCCGCTTACTGGTTTGGACAGGCGCTGGTGGATGCTCCCCTCTACTTCTTGATCCTCCTTGTGATGCAAATAATGGATTATGTTTTCAGTCCAGAAGAGATTATATTCATAATTCAAAACCTGCTATTTCAGGTAGGTAGAAAACATTAAGAAATGGTTTTATTAGACCAGCTTTTCACCAGCGCAGTGCTATTACTTATCTTAAAGGACTTAAAGAAAACATATTTTATCTGTCCAGTAGTTCTGAGAAGCTGAAGGATGAACATGGCTATATTCCTAAATGGTTTTTACTTTCTCCAAGTGAACTATTTCTGCTTTCAGATCCTGTGCAGTGTGGGATATGTCTCAGCTCTCATTTTCTTGACATATGTGATTTCATTCATTTTTCGCAATGGCAGAAAAAACAGTGGCCTTTGGTCATTTTTCTTCTTAACCGTAAGTGTGTATATAGCATGCGTTGCTTTATTTTTAAACTTTTCTTGAATAGATATAAGTGTGCATCTTAATCTTTCCACTAAGCCTAGTGGCAAATAAATATTGTCTAAAATTTCTAATCACTCTAAGATAACCACGGGCATATATAAAATGCATGTGGTTAGCAAATACCAATTACAAACAATCATCTCCATACATCTCCAGAGCAAGAGACACCCCTGACCTAGAAACTTCTGGTAATAGTTCACTTAAATATCACTTGAATATTTAAAAAGGAATTCAGTGATGCCACATCTGAACTGTATCCTTCTCCTTAATTCTGTGCTTCTTCATCCCTCAGCAGGTTACATCATCATCTCTAGCAGCAGCATTGTTATTGTTATTGTTATTATGGGTACCTGGGATTGAACTCTGGACCTTGCACTTGCCTGGCAGGGGCTTATGCTGTTGAGCTCTCTCCCCAGCCCCCAGGTTATGCTGTTGCTGCAGAATTCACCCAGTTGGTTGGCCATGCCCCAAGTCTTGGTTTTCCGCTCTGTCTCTTCTCACACCAACCCATCTGCCTGTCCTCTAGACTCTCTGGCATCCCTACTTGCTTGGTGTTCCACCTTCATGGCAATATCTGTTCTTCAGTTTTTCCCACATCTCACCTGCAGTGTTGCAACAGATCTCTAACTGGTCTCTCCATTTCTACTTTTGCATGCCACAAAAGCTATATAGTAACTAAAGCAATCTCTTAAAAATTAAATTGAATAGAAAAGTGCAACTTGCATTTAGAAAATAGACACATTTTAAATCACAATAAAACTCTAATATAAACACTCCCACAACCCCACCAAGCACATAAATAAGTAGATGACGGAGGTTCTAGAAGCTCCTCATGCCCCATTCCAATGTTGTCCTCTTGTCTTAGTTATTTTTCTCTTATTGCTGAGACAAGATGCCTGACACCCAAAATTAAGGGAGGAAAGGTTTTCCTAGCTCACAGTTTATGTCAGTTTCAGCCCATAATCAGCTGGCTCAAAGGCAGAGTGGCACATGGCAGAGGGCAGCAGTTGATGGCCGCAAAAGACAGCAAGAGTAGAAAGGGAGAAGCATGAGAGACACCTCTTTTGGTCCCCTATATGTATGTGGGCTGCCCACCCGAGGGCGAGAGCAGCACTCACACCCAGAATCCCAACACTAGACAATGAACCAACCACAAAGTCTAGATTCAACCTCCTCCAAAAAGCATCCCCCATGACTGCATGAGGCTTTGAGGAGACATCCAGACACAAACCATAACATCCCTCGTACAGAAGATCATTATCCTTAATTATAATATTATAATTAATACACAGTTCTGAATTTAGCCAAATGGAATCATCCAGAATGCATTGCTCATTTTCTACAGTTAACAGTGCCTTTGAGGGTCAAGTGCTATGGTAGTTGATACCTACCATAGTGGACCCTTTCTTTCCATTGCTGTAGTAGTCTTTTAAATACACTACAATTTATTTATACATTGATGAACATTCAAATGATTTCTTTTGGAATGTGAAGAAAGGCTCTGGCATGAACGTTTTGTATTGCTTCTGGTTTGCATGTACGTGTATTTTGGGATATCAATAAAATAGTAGAGAAGGACAGCTCGATAGCTCAGTGGACTAAAGCACCTGCTTAGGCACACGCAGGGACCAGGTTCAATCTCCAGCCTGCAATGCCGGCCCCTCCCCCAGGGTGCGCTGAGCCAGCAATTGACACTGGGCAGTTGGCGCACGCCTGTCATCCCAGCGCTTGGGAAGCTAAAAACTGGAGGATCACAAGAGGTGGAATTCTAGCTGTGTAGATCCCTGTAGGTCCTGAACTAAACACACAAAAACAAAACAAAAAGAAGTGGTGCAGTTATTAGGTCAGTTCTCATATGCTTAACATTCATAGGTTGTGCCAAATAGTTTTTCAATTTTTTTTCTATCATCAAAAGGGGATGGAAAGTTTAGGAGATGGTGAGAGGTATGTTTCACATGGGCTAATATTTGCCTTTGGAAGAAAATAAAAATGAAATACATGAGTAAATACAAGTTATAAAATAAAAAGTAAAGACAATAGTTTCTAGATTGAGCAAAGAAAGGGTTTAGAAAAATATATATAAGTTTGTAGAAGGAACAGATATCCTCTAAATTAAGAAATAACTGCTATGGTATGATCAAAACTCATGAATGTGTGAGAAGGCACCCATGTAAATGGAAATCAACTATACAAAAGTAAAATTCAAGCTGCCTCCAAATTTATTTTCCACAACTTTTTTTTTAGTTTTCATATATTTGATGAAATTGCTTTGCCCCTAAATTGTATATATCCGACTTACAATTCTAGGCAAGATTTGACCTACTCAATGTGATCTCACAGAATGACCCCATTATAAGTGCTTTTAAAATAAAATCTTTAGGGCCTGGGAGATAGCTCAGTAGAATAAACGCTTGTCTGGCAAGTGCAGGGTCCTGGGTTCAATCCCCGGTACCACAAAAAATAAAATCTTTAGGCCATTCCAAAACCTGCAGGCACACACAGATGTTCATATCAGTATTATTCAATCAATGCATCAATAGTGAATGGACAAACTGAGGTATGTACACACAACAGAAACTCACGTAGTGCTAAAACAAAATGTGCTAACAAGTCATAAAAACACACTGAAGTAATTTGAATGCATATTACTAGAAAACAATTTGAGAATATTAGTTACAATGTGATCCTAACTATCCTACATTCTGGAAAAGACCAGAGTATGGAGATAGGAGATCAAAGACGTTAAGAAGAAAATATGGTGTATAGGATGGTGTAATTTCTGTTAGTCAAACTATTACTCCTTAGGATACTATATGATAGGTGCACGCCATTATAAATTTGTCCAAACCCATAGAATATGTAAGACCGAGAGTAAAATTGAGTGTGAACTGTGAACTCTAAATTATACTGACATGACAGTACAGATTCATGAAGCATGACCAGTGTACTGTTCTCGTGTAAGATGTTGGCCCTAGGATCGGCACATCATGGGATTACAGTTTATGTGGGAAATCCTTACTCCATCTCCTCAATGGGACTATGAGGCCAAAGTGCTCTAGAAATAGTCTACTAGCAAAAGAAAATAAAAGAAAGCACTCAGACACAAATCATATCCATATAAAAGACAAACAATTTAAGGCTAAAATTATCCCACTTAAAAAAAAAAGTAATGAATTCAGAAAAAGAAAAATTGCTGTAAAAGTACCATCAGTGACCACAAAATGAGTCAAATATTTATGATTCAATAACTTTGGGAAGCATACTTGCAGCATATTTAAATTTTAAAAATCCACAAAGTTGAATGGTTTCTTTTATAAAACAAGGATAACTTTAATAGCAACACCTAAGAAAGAAAAACATTAATAAATTCACTAAGAACAACAATGAGCAACTTTAAATAAAAAACATAGCAAAACAACCTGAGAAGCTGAGAATAATAATCAAAAGAGACTAATATGATAGAGTCCATGACAAAATCATACAATATTAGTAGTTATATTAAAGGAAAATCATAAAATATCATAGAATTATTTTTTTTTTGTGGTACTGGGTATTGAACTCAGAACTCTACTCTTGCCAGACAGGCACTTATTCTTCTGAGCCATCTTCCCCGGCCCAATATCATACAATTTGTTAAAAATATCTACTAAAAAGAAAATGTAAATACAAGGACAGACTGCCAAAAACCAATGAAAAATATTGCATTACACCATAGTTAGAAATTATTCACATAGGATGGGCCAGATAGCTCAATGGATAAAGCACCTGCTTAGGCAGAGGCAGGGGCTGGGGGGTTCGATCCCCCCGCTTGCTGTGCCAGTCCCATCCCCGGGGCTTACTGTGACAGTGATTGAGACTGGGCTTGGTTGCACGCACCTTAATCCCAGCGCTTGGGAGACTGAAAAGAAGAGGATCAGTACAAATTCAGTCTGTGTAGTGAGACCCTGTAGACTCTGTACTAAATACAAAAAAAAAATTATTCACATAATATAATAGGACAAGGATCACCACAATAATTTAGCATAGCATCTTTTTAGCAAATTGTGGCACAGTGAAGGCTCTAATTCTGGACATAGGGAAATAAGTTGCCACCATCCTTTTGAAAAATGTTAATGACTATTGAAATAAATTTGCACAAATTTTAACCTGAAATTACATTTTCTTTCTATAGGACTAAAAGTGTCAGAATAGAAGGAGTGATGTAGATTGTCATCAATAGGCCAGAATATTTGAAAATAACATGCTTTCTGAAGACAAAATGGTCAATTCTTGGATAGCCATTCAAAAAATATACACCTACGAAAACGTGGAGCTGATGTGCTTGGCGTGAAGCATACCCATGACGTGCTTAGATCGGACTCGTAGCAATCCTCCCGTTTACAGCCTCCCAAGAGCTGGGATTACAGGTTCGCCACCATGCCCAGTTTCAATTGCCCTCTCAGTGTGCCCTGGGTGTGGAGCCAGCATGGCAGGCCCGGGGATCGAACCCCTGGCCCCTGCACCTGCTTGCAGGCACTTTAATCCACTGAGCTATTTGGCCAGCCCAAAATCTGAATTTTAGTGAAATCTTCAGCTGACTTGTGTACACAGAGTTTGAAAAGCAATGTTATTTCTATTAAAAATTAATACTCAGTCTAGTAGAAGAATAACCTATGCGTATGTCACCAAGAAGAAAGCCACAGTGGTAAAAATAAGAACATTAGTGAGATAAATTATTACCCTCTTGAAAATAGCCTATAACTCAGAATGTTTTTTTTTAATTAATCCATTTTTATTAGTACCTGCTAGCCATTCACAGTCATCACATTCATCATGGTGAATTTGTGCTTATAGATAACGTATGTTGATTCTTTTCCCCAATTCCCCTTCCCTCCTTTCAGCCTTTCTTCTCTTCCCACTTTACAAAAGCTCTGCTTCCATTTTCCCCTCAGTTCTCTCTGTCTTTTTAAAATCCCTTTCCCTTTTTTCTTTCTCCACTCCCTTGCTCCACTTCCCATTTAAACAAGTTCTTGGGCCGGCCAAATAGCTCAGCAGATTAAAGCACCTACAAGCAGGTGCAGGGGCTGGGGTTTCGATCCCAGGCCTGCCAGGTCGGCCCTGCCCCCCGGGAACACTGAGATGGCAATTGAGACTGGGCATGGTAGCACGTGTCTGTAATCCCAGCTCTTGGGAGACTGTAAACAGGTGGATCACTAGGAGTCCGATCTAGTAGTGAGACCCTGAACACTGTGTAGACCCTGCTCTAAAATAAATAAATAAACAAACAAGTTCTTTCTGCTTCCTAATAATGATTCTCCATTTGGCTCTTTATTGACCCTTTGGATAGCTCATGTAAGAGAAATAATCTGACAATTAAACTGGCATGTCTGATTCATTTCACTTCTGAGTACGGCCTTGTTAACCTCTCGAGACACTGTCCTCTGCTTTGGTTCTAGGTCACCATCTTCACCATATTTGCTACTGATATAAGTGAATACTCATTTCTGGGGCTATTTTTGTGCACCATATTGATACCGCCCTTCACACTGCTTGGTTCTCTCTCCATTTTTTCTGAGGTAAGTAACTCCAGTCCTGTCCTCACATCATAAAATATGTGGCCAGAAGAGAAAGCCTAAGATATTGCAAAAATTTGAGCGGAGACCTCAGCCACACCAAGTTTGAAGTCTTTATCTTCAGAAAGTCGGTTGTCTACCCATACACAAGGGGTGTGTTCTTTTTCAGTAGGAAGCTGGGCTTTGGTTCACGGAGGTCAAAGTTGACTCCAGGCATAGGGCGTATTTATAAACCTCACAAAACTCTCATTCTGGGAACCTTCAAGCAGTGCTTTTCTGTTAAATTTTGGAAATGTTAGGGTTAAGTTTCCTCACAGACACTTGAAGAAAAATGTTAAGGAGACAGCTGGATATGCAGGGAATCCTGAAGAGATTTGACTGAGCTTGTCAGATACAAAAGTTACATTTCTTATTATATAGATCTTGCTTTATCTTGGTCTTAACCATCCAGCAGAAAAGTATACAAACAAGGTATAAAAAGTAAAGCCGTATTAATATGCTGAGCTGCAAAAGGCTCAAGTCCACAACTTCTGACACTGCCAGTCGTCATGCAGATAACCCACTACTATTCTGGACTACTGGATTATATTGGATTACTTTGCTGAATTCACGCACTTACAATACTTGAATGGCAATGGAATACTCATCTCTGACAAAAGTAAACAAAAAAAGTGGGATATAAATGAAGGACCATTGTGCAGTGAAAAATATCTATCTATCTGTACATACAAAATAGGTAGGATAGATGTACAGCTACTTTCTCTTGGTTCAATGAGAAGAGAAATTTGTATTAATAGTGTTTAGACAAGATATCATGTCTGTGCATTGTACTATGAATAACTACTACAAAAGGCAACAGTATGCAATGTATTAATTATTGTAACTGTCCTACTAACCTGTTTTGAATCTGTCTCAATGCTATTTCTTTCTCAATAAAATTAATTAAAAAATACAGTCAAGTATAAGCAAAAGGTTTGCTCTCCCCAAAACCAGAAACACTCCATCTATTTGACATGATCATTGTTGGCGTATATAAATATAGCAATAAGTGGCTTAGTGCCTCTGCTGGTAGAAGATGAGAAGGACATGCCTTTATTAGGGAAATGAGGTCATCCCCCCGAGAGTGAGAGCGGGGTCTGTGGGATTCACCTACTGAATGACAGCCTGCCCTACTTTTCAAGAAAAGTCAAGAAAATGGAGTTTATCATATAGTCTGCTTTCAAGGTATTTTAGGGCAAGAAGAGAATTGGGTTCAACGGGGGATCAGAAGTTTCCAGGTGAGGCTGACAAAGAAAAGGAGAGATGGGGATAGTTCTATTGAAGTAGGACTTGAACACGAGATCATGGATTCTGAAGGAGGCAAGGTGCAAGTGAAGTCCATGAGGGGGTGAATGCACAGTGATCAGATGTTGATGAGTTGGAAACTGACCAACTCCGAATTACAGAGTGAGGATACTAGACTCTCAGAAAGCTGGAGAGATAAAATTGGATGGCACAGAGGGCAGAAATCAGGAGTGCTGAGCTCATTTTAGAATGGCCTACCATTATCGGAAGTGGTCACCTGAGGCAGGAGAGCAAAATGAATCACAATGAGGTCAGAGTCAGGATGAGCCACCAATGTGAGCCATGAAATCTTTACTAGATGGCGGATGGCTGTGACACTTAGAAATTTATTGCAAGAGAACTCAACTTTCTCAAAGGAAGTATTGGTGAATAGAGCTCACTAAATAAAATTGATTCCTTTATTCTTTATTTGTAATGAAATAAAGCCCCTCCTTTCATGGGGGCTATTTGAAAGATGCATTTATATGTGCCCATGAAACTCTTGGTGATGGATTTGGGCTGAAGGATTATTGTGATGATTGGCAAAAGGAGATGTAGGAGAATAACAGCACACATAGGACTACAAGGTTTATGAGGGAAGAATGCAGAAAAGGAACAGAACCCGTAAGGGAAAGGCAGAAGTTGGAGAAGGTTTGTCTCAGGACAGCATTGCCCGTGCTTCAGTGAGTCTCGCCAACACTGCCTAGAATCCTGCCAACCTATGGCCTTACCCAGAATAGCACCTCAACGCATAGGCAAGATGTCCGAGGTACCTTGGAAGGAAGACATGCTGTCCAGTCAGGAACTGGCTTTACCTGATGAATGGCAAAATGGTGGCGGGGCTGTTTAAAGGGAAGATGATCCAAATAGCTTTCTTTTTGTTTTATAGATTTCTTACGACTCCGTGGATTACTTAGGGGCTAAAGAATCGCAAATAGGATTTCTGGCATTGCTAATAGTAAGAAGACATTTCCTTTCCAATACTATTCGTAAGGGGACACAGTCTTGGTATGGTTTGAGTTTCTTTGAGTAGCAGCAAATTAAAAATGGCATTTTTGGCATGTGAAGGAAGACATACCCAGAGGGACAGATTAAAGATTTAATTAAGTGCATTGGTACAGTTTAGGTATATACACTGATCACATTCATCACAGGGAATTGTACCTGTCTATAACGCACCTGCATTTGCCTTTTTCCCCTCCCATTCCCCTCCCTTACCCTCCCCTCCGTTCCCTCTTTCCCTCCATATTCGCAAGGCTTTGTTTCCATGCTTTCCTTCTTTTCTCTTTTTTCTTTCCCCTTCCTTGCCCCCTCCTACCTCCCCAGCTCCCCCTTCTTCAGCTTCTTCCCATTTCACCACATCTCTAGTGCAGTCCGGTTCTTATTTATCCTTTCCGTTCCTCACATCAATGAGAGGACACAAAATTTACACACGTGTGTCCAATTTATTTCATTTAAGGGTATAGTCTCAAGGTACATCCATTCAGCAACAAATGGCTCCAATGTACCCTTATTTATGGCAGAGTGGTACTTCATTGTATATAAAAAAATTCACATCTTCTTTACCCATTCATTGGTTGTTGGGTGTCTGGGTTGTTTCTAATATTTAGCTATTACAAACCGTGTCTCTATAAACATAGGTACACGTAGATTGCTGCGTTATTATGCTTTTAATTATTTTGAGAAAATGCCAAGGCTGAGCCATTAGCATTACAAGAGTTGTGGAATGCCAAGTGTGAGGTGCCAGTTCTGAGCAGCACAAGTCGCAGTGGCATAATTCAGTACTGCTACCTTTATGTTTTATCTAAAGAGCAGAGAGATAAGAGTGTCACAGAATATCAAATAGGTAGCTTTCTGCCTTGAGCAATGTTATGAAGCATAATTGTGCAACGACAGGCAGAAACGCTGGGACAACACCAGGATTTGGAGCCAGATTTGCTTCATGTGGGTTGATTGGCACCGATCAGAACCATTCCCATAATGCCAGGCGCCAAAGGCTGAGGGAGGGAGGTTTTCATTGGATGGCAAAAGGGAAGTGCAGAGGTAGAGTACATGGCCGTCTTTGATTGGCTCTCACAGTAGGCATCCTAGTGACCGGGCGTTGCTAGGAGACAGGAGCACCTGAAACTGCAACAGCAACTGCTGCCAGGGTGACTACGATACCGAAGTATACTGGCTGGGGGGTGGGGGTGGGGCGTTTTTGTTATGATTTTATATATGGTTACAATTGCATCAAATCATCCAGCTGCTGTATTGAAATAATTGTTTTTATGATGATGTTAATTTTGATTGGTCTTTTTCCCCCTAGCCTTACGTCCAGTTTTTCATTTTCCTTTTCATTCTGCGATGCCTGGAAGGACACTGTAGAAAGAAATTGTTGCGCAATGACCCTGTATTCAGGTCGATAAAAGTCAATTGAATTTCATGTTTTATTGTAATACCCATTCTTTAAAGACACTTTAATATTTCTAAATTAAGTTTGTAAGGCACTGCTGGCTCAAGATCATTTTAAGAGGATTTGTAAACTCAGTAAAGTAAGGTGAATTATGAAAATTCCTGCAACAATCTAAGGAGAGATTAAGGCAGACTGTGGTTCTGCAGTAAGGAATATTACATACAAGGCATAGAATCTTAAAAAATAATATGCACACACAGACTCACAATTGTGAAGTGTAGCCAATTCAGGCTGGAAATAAAACGAGCAGTAAAATAAGGTTGTGGGGTGTGTCTCCTTTCTATTGGTCAGAGGAGGAAGTGGAAGTGAACTTGGAGGTGTGTCTTGTAGGATAATGAGAATGGTGAAGCTAGAGGCCTGAGGGGCTGGAAGCAGGGAAGAACAGGAAGATTTTATAAGGTACATAATGCTAAATTAAGACCAAGTGTGTCTTGAAGAACTAGCCTACCACCCCGGATGAACAGCAGGTTCAAATCTAATGTTGATAATAAAGCCAAACATGAGGCTGTGTTTTAGAAAATCCAAGTGACTACTTTTATCTGTGGTGGCTGTAAAGGGAGAGAGGAACTAGCAGGACTCAATGGAGGATGAACAAAATAATTAGTGAGAGAAGAGGGATTCTGACCCAAACTCCCGAGAACTGATCCTGCTCGTCTCAGAGGAGACACTGGAATGGTGGTTGCTTGCGCTAGGTTTTCTGGAGCCGTCCCTGACTTAAGTGTTTTGATCCCAGCATTCTCATGAAATTCTGCCTCAACATCCCTTTGTGAGAGAGTGTGTGACAGTTTAATTTGCCAGAGAAAAAGCAGTCATTGCCACAAGAACAATTAAATTTAAGTAAAAGACAGATGATATGAGTAGCAACACTTGATTCTTTGGCAGTAATTAGGTTGCTTTTAAGGAAAATGACAGAGAGTTTGAGAGTGAAAATTCTGCAGGCCTGCTTCTCAATCTGGTTAAAAAACTGATTTAATTTAGAATATTTTGCTGAGTTTACACACCTATAATATTCAAATAACAGCTAAACAAAAAAAGGGGATACAGATGAATGTCCATTTTGTATCTGTGTATTCAAAGTGGTTAGGATAGATGTATAGTTACATTCTCTTCATGAATAGAATGATTTGTTGTAATGGTGTTTGTAAATAGGATATCATGTCCACATCTTGTACAGCAATTAACCACTAGGAAGAATGTATGCAGTGTGTTAGTTATTGAAACTGTCCTACCAATTTGGTTTGAAACTGTCTCATTGCTATTTGTTTCTCACTAAAATTATGGGGAAAATAACCGATTTCAGTGCACAGCAAATGCATTACTTTGGCTGAAAGCTTTTCAATTGGGGACTCACCACCTTTGTGTCATTTTGATTTTAGAATCACTCCAAGAAGCAATGATGTTTTTCCAAACCCAGAAGAACCTGAAGGAGAAGATGAAGATGTCCACAAGGAAAGAATAAGAACAGTGAATGCCGTGACCACCCTGGATGAGGAAGAGGTAAAAGCTCCAAAAATACTCCTCATCAAAACATTTTGCCTGTAGGACACAGTGAGCAACTAGTTGTAATTTTTTTGGGAGGGTGGTGTGTGTGTGTGCGTGTGTATATGCATGCGCACGCAGGGTCTCACTAGTTCTAATTTTTGAAAAACACTCAAGCTATTTATTTATTTATTTATTTATTTATTTATTTATTTATTTGGTACAGGGGGCTCGGACTCATAGTGATCCTCCTGTCTCAGCCTCCCCAGCACTGGGATTACAGGCGTGCGCTATCACACTTGGTTTCGGTGGCTGGTACAGCATGCATTATGAGGAATCAAACCCATGTCTTTGCACTTACCTGGCAGGCGTTCAGACCACCAAATATCTCCCTGGCCCCGCTCGAAGTATTTTTAATCCTTGCTCATGTAATTTATTTTTTGCAATGTCCACAGAGCTAAGAGAGCAAGGCAAACACAGACACACACACAGGGATTAACTTTTTAATTGATTTTTCAGAGTGTTATAAAACTTAAGTAAGAATTCCTAAGTTTTGTAACCCAAGTAAAGCTTACTGCAAGAAATGAGGAAGAGACAGCCCATCTGAGTAGTTCATATGGTTTATTTTTATTTTTCTTATTTTAAAAAAGAGTACAAAATAGTACTAAAACATAAAAATAACAAATGATGCAGAATTTCACTAAACAAAACAATAGGAATTTCATGGCATTTGTTGTAATACAATGTTGTGTTCAAATTAGCTGTTCGTATTACCAGATATGAGCATGCAAAATTGGAAGAAGAAAAAAAGAAAATAAGAGGAGAGAAAGAAGAAACAATTTTTTTTAAAAAAGGAGATAAAATAAATTAAGCATTAACTTCTCCTTCCCATAGACCAGCAGCTGTCTGTGGTACAGCTGTCCGAACCATCCTGCTTACATACATAAATACGTACATGCGTTTTTATGGGTCTGTGTGTGAGAATATGGGTCTTAAATCTATTGATGTAGTGAACATTCTTGTTCTTTCTCTATGAAGAAGAGTGAGCGCAAATCACATGATATGGTACAAATACCCCTTTCCTTCAGGAATATAGATGAGATAATTCACTTGACAATGGCAGTTTCTCAGGGAAGGATCGATCTCCTCATGATCTTACACAAGGATATCTTTGCGGGAAAGGAATACAGAGTGTTTCTAGTGCAAAGAGAGGGTAATGTCCCGTTGCTGTTGGCTCTTCACAGAAACCAGTTATCACTGCCAGCTGTCTCCGGAAGGAATATGCAGGCAAAAAGAAAAAATGCTTTTCCAGAAAGAAGAAAAAAATTGCCACAAGGAACGTCTCTTTCTGTGTTAAAAAAGGTTGGAAACAACTGTTTTCCTAGTAGTGATCTTGACTTCTAAAGATGGGCTCTTTCTAAGACAAGAAGAGTAACCAGTTCTGCAATTACCTAGTGATGAACAGAGGAGGAAGCCAACAGGTCCCCATGCTAAGGCTGCTCCTTCCTTCTTACAAACCATAGCTACGCCTGGTTCTCCTTTGCACAAGAAGATACTGTGTCTGTTCTGTGGAAACACACAAGCAGAACACTGACCACAAAAAGGAAGTGTTTCTGTCAAAAACAATGATATAGGTTTCTTTTTTTTCAAGTCTACATTAGTTTTTACATTTTTGTGGTACTGGGGATTGAACCCAGAACTTCCTGTTTGGTAAGTGCTCTATCACTGTGCTATACACTGGCTCTGTACAGATTTTATTTTTTATTGGATACAGGGTCTCACTATGCAGCTTGGACTCAGAGTGAACCTCCTGTCTCAGCCTCACCAGTGCTGGGATTATGGGCATGTGCCACCATGCCTGGTTTTGAGGTCAGAATTGTATGGGGTACCAGAGATTGAACCCAGGTCCTTGCACTTGCCAGACAAACCATGAGACCACCAAGCTATCTCTGCAGCCCCATATTTTAAAGTAATGCAATTTCATGACTTAAGGGAACTGATAGAAGCATAGTAACACATTTGTCATTCCTAAAAATATCACATGTTAGGGGCAGCAAACCTTGCAGTTCACTTTGCTTCAAATTTTAGCTCAGTCTTTTGTAGGCTGCACGACCTGAGGCAGGTGATTTATGCCCTTTAAGTACAGCTTCTTCATCTGAGAAAGCAAATAAGAACCAGGTAATAAATGGTAGGGGTGTGTGTGTGTGTGTGTGTGTGTGTGTGTGTGTAGGGGAAGAATAAGTGAAATAATGCATAATGCATTTCAGGTAGTGTGTAACAATTAGAGTCCATAAATGCTATTTGCTGGTAATTGATTGATTGATTGATTGATTGATTGATGGAGTTCTTGGAGATTGAACTCAAAGCTTTCAAAATGAGCTATGTGTCCAGCTATTTCTTAGTTTTTTTAATTTTGAGAGAAGGTTTTCTCAAGTCACTAAGTTGCCTAGGGTGGGCTCAGACATGTACTCCTTCTGCCCCAGACCCCGAGAGCGCTGATGTTACAGGCACTGGGTGCCGTACCAGGCTCGCTTTTAGTTTTGGTATAATTTTCTGTGCATTTCTGAACATTTCTGTTTCTTTCAGGTGAGGTTGTAGGTCTGTTGGGACACAACGGAGCTGGTAAAAGCACAATGATTAAAATGATAACTGGAGACGTAAAACCAAATGCGGGGCAGGTCAGTGAATCACAGAAATATGGTCATTAATGATTCCTCAGTTGAAGGTTTTACAGGGAATATTTTTTTGGAAGGGTTAAAGCGTATTTTATTTTATTTATTTAATTTTTGTTTAATAATTTTATGAAGAAACAAATAGCAATGAGACAGTTTCAAAACCAATTTAGTAGGACAGTTTCAGTAATTAATACATTGCACATTGTTGTCTTCATAGTGGTTATTCATAGTACAAGATGCAGACGTGACATCCTGTCGACGGCAATCATAAAATATTTTGGGTAGTCTGTAGGCCATTTATGTGACTTATGCAATGTACAAAGAGGATTGACTGAAAATTTTTCTCCTTAATTCCAAAAATAGTTGACTGATGAGAATGGTTATTGCTGCTATACTGGTTATAAAAAATAGGGACATTAAGGGAAAATATATATCACTAAGATCACAAGTCTTTGTTTTGTTGAATTATCTCTCCCAAGAACTTGGTAGGTTGAATTATCTAACGCATCATCATTCCGCACAGAACTGTGAGAATAAGGCCTGCTTGCGTGGTTAAAGTCGTGAATCTTCATATTTAATAACTTCTCTGTTTATATGCTATAATTAAAGATTCTGTGTGGCATTTTGCAATGATGAGTTCATTAGCAAGGAGAGCTGCAGGAGTATTTACAGAGTGCACATGCAACAGAAGAGCCTTATGCGTGATGGTCACACCTTGGCCCAGTGGAGGAGACAGGGCAGCCGCAGAAAGTATTGCTGTAGGTCCCCTGAAGTTCTTCAGTACCAGGGCTTGAACTCAGGACCTTATGCTTGCTAAGCAGGCACTAATGTCACTGTGCTATCTCCGTGGCAACCCCACTGAAGTTCTTGCAGCGCGATAACAATGCTGGGCTGGTACTAAAAGACCCCGAATCTTTTAAGATCATTGACATACATAAGAAAAATAGTAATAATTGTCAAGAGTCGGGATAATAGATGAATGTCACTTTCCTAGACCAATTTGGGAAAGATTGCAGGTTGGAAGGGCAAATGCTGCTTTCACTGGGCATGAGGTTGAAGTCAGAGACGGTGTTGGGAAGGGAAGTTTGAAGGTGGTGGTGGTGGCTGCAAGCTTTTTTCTAATTGACTTTTATTTCCAGCTTTGTCCCATGCAGCAGTTATAGCAGAGCTTAAACTGTCTCCTGTCACTCTCCAGATTGCAACCTGTGACTTAAAATTCATCCAAAATTTTTACCATGACTGCAGAAGGCTTGGCATGGCATGGGCTCTGCTGATGGCCTTTCACGCCCTCTACCTCTTGCAAGACTGGTCTTCAGTCACTTGCTGGCTGCGGGATCGTTGGGTCTGGTCATCTCCTGTGCCCTGCCCTCAGTTCTTAATGTGTTTCCCTGAACATCTACCTCCCCAAAAGACCTTTTCCTGCCTGCGCTATTTGCTACATTAAATCCTCCGTATTATTGTCAAACACATTTACTTTCTTGACAGGATCAAGAAAAGACCTTAATTAGTCCACTTCTGTATTTACTTGGTAATTTTTAGGTTCTCTCTCTGGAATGAAAGTTCTAAAAGGCAAAGTTAGCTTGTTTTCTCCTGCCTTGTCCTTCGGGGAGACAATCTAGGATGGAGGTTAAGATCATGGGTCCTGAAGGTCAAAACCAGTTTCAGTTATCATAATATGGTCTTGAAATTTCTTCATCCACTTGTGTGCGAGTTTTCTTATATGCAAATCAGGATGGTAAAGTTATCACAGAACACTTACCGGTTCCTATAAAGACAACATAATCTATGACGTATAAAATGCTCAGAACCTGGCCTATGGCAAGCACTGAAAACACATCAGCTACTCAAGTTATTGGATAGCACAGAGATTGACTTGAAAAAATGACAAATGCTGGCATGAATTAACTGAGCGCCTTTGTCCCGTAGCATTCATGGTTTTTCATATACTCAGCTCAAAAATTTTCAACCTTGAAATTAATGACCTTTGGGGTGAATAGGTTTTGTGCTTAGCAGGGTGTTGAGCAGCATTTCTGACCTCTGCCCACGAGATACCCATAGCACCTCTCCCACCACAGAAATACAAATTGTGACAGATTCCATCTACAGACACGGCTGAATGTACTCTGGGAGGAGGATTGCCTCTGTGAGCCAGATCCTGTAGTGACAGCTATTTATTACTAGGAAAATAGAATCCTTCATATGTATTCTTTTGAATTTTGGAATCAGTAAATAAAGTCAAGCAATAAATAACCAACTAAGCCAGCCTGATTCTACCTGACTAATGAAACTAGTAGTCAAGTCTAAACTATAATGGAAGAATAGAACAACATTGGGTGCTGGCCTTTAAACTGCTGAGTGCTTTGCCATTTTTTCCAGAGCTACATTCAGTAACTTTTTAACTTTTGCACTTACTTACCTTTATGCCCTTAGCAGCCATATGGGTACTTGAAGGGAATTCCCTGAAGTATGCGCTCTCTCTCTCTCTCTCTCTCTCTCTCTCTCTCTCTCTCTGTCACTCTCTCTCTGTCTCTGTCTCTCTCTGTGTGTCTGTCTCTGTCTCTGTCTCTCTCTTTCTCTCTTTCTACACACACACACACACACACACACACACACACACGCAGTTCTGAACAGAACCAGAGAATGATCTTCTTTTGTCTAGGTGATTTTGAAGAGGAGCAGTGAAGGGGAACCCCTGGGGTTCCTGGGGTACTGTCCTCAGGAGAACGTGCTGTGGCCCAACCTGACTGTGAGGCAACACCTGGAAGCATACGCTGCTGTGAAGGGGCTGAAGAAAAGGGACGCTGTGGTCAGCATCACCCAGTACGTGAGAAAAGTGTGCAGTCTCTGGGGGAGACATGATGTTAAGGGCATTGCCAACAAAGCTCAGGAACAAAAAATTCAAGAAACAAGTTTCTAACAAACAGTCCCTTGCTCTCAGTAAAAGTCTTGGCCATCTAGTACCTTCTCTAAGCCTGGAGGAGAAACACTTTACAGATTAGTCTTAGTACAGGAAGATGTTATGACATCCCAGAAAGACTCATAAAATATCTGTATGAGTCAGTTTTGTGTGGCTATGACTAAATACCTAAGGCTAGTCGCTCATGGAGAAAAGGAGGTTTCTCCACAGTGGATGGTGCGAGTCCAAGCTGGGGCAGCCTTGCTGTGTCAGCCTCTGCTGAGGACGCAGCCACAATGATATCCTAGCAGGAGTGCTTGGGAGTGGGAAAGATCACATGATCAGGCGGGAAACCAGAGACGGATGGGAATCCCACCATCCCCTCTCCAGGCACACCCCAGTGACGCAGACAACCTCAGGACCTTCTAGTAGGATTTAATGATCCCCAGAATCTCCTAGTGTCACCATCTCCCAATGCATGATGACCCTTTAGGGAGCAAACTACATCTAATTCATAACATATCTCAATGGTGTCATAGTCTTGATCCTCTAGTGCCCCTTACCTTTTCTCCACTGTATTGTTTTGATTTGCTAGTTCTCCTGCGTCCAATTCCCATTGTTCCTGGGTAATGACGTTTGACTCACTCTGTGTCCCTGCAGCTTGGTGGAGGCCCTCAAGCTGCAGGATGATCTGAAGACTCCCGTGAAGACCCTGTCAGAGGGAATAAAGAGGAAGGTACGCGAGGGCCTGGTGGGGCTCTGTGCACCTACGGCTGGAGCTGACAGCCGGTCTCTGTTGTTCCAGCTGTGCTTCGCTCTGAGCATCCTGGGAAACCCATCGGTGGTGCTTCTGGACGAGCCGTCCACCGGGATGGACCCCGAGGGCCAGCAGCAGATTTGGTGAGAAAATACGTGTGTAGTCCCAATGTGGACTAATGGCTTCTGTAACAAATGCCTTCCAAGTCAGTGTTTACTGAGAAAAACTAAGCCAGTCATCCACTATGAGGAAAAGCAGCATTAAGGGGAACGTACCCTTGCCATTTTTTACTGAGGAGAAAACGATATACTCTTTCAACTAAATATCCATTCCAAGAATTTTATTTTCTTCCTAAGTCTTCTGGGTTTGAATGGGGCACAATAAAAATCAATCAATTTCTAAATGTTAACTCTTTCTGCAACCTTACCTAGCACACTATTCTTTGGAGAATAAAAGAATCATTACCCATTTTCAATGTATTCTTTAATTATTTTAGGAAATTTCTGGCATTTTGTTCCTTTCTAGTACATCCTGTGATTATCCTACATTTTACTTGGTTGACTTTCTGTCTTCTATATGCCTTTTGATAAACATGCTTGAAACTCGCAAAACTGCTAAATAGCTTTGACCCAATAACACATTGTATGTTGAGCTTAAACCTGGTGTCAAAATATAACCAATAACTTGCTTATTTCCTGTTGATTGTGCCCACCATAATTCTGGTCGTGGTCTTGTCTGACTTCACTAATTGTCCCATACGTGTGACAAGGGAAATTTCTTTCTTAAAACTTCCACACTGCCTTAGCCAGTTTTTTTTTTTTTTTAATCGTCCCTCAATCTAATTTTAGGCAGGCAATCCGGGCCACCTTTAGACACAGGGAGAGGGGTGCCCTCCTGAGCACCCACTACATGGCGGAGGCGGAGGCTGTGTGTGACCGCGTGGCCATCGTGGTATCGGGACGGCTGAGGTGAGTGCTCTTCAGACTGACCCCAGGCCCACAGGTCACAGGACGTCTCCTCCGGGAGGAGCTGGTGGGGCTGCTTCTGCCACGGGGGACTGCAGCCTGGGCCTCCGCAGACTGGAGAGCACTGGCCAGCGTGCCCTGCCTTACCTGCGTGACGTCTGCTTCTGACCTGCAGGTGTATCGGCTCCATCCAGCACCTGAAGAGCAAATTTGGCAAAGATTATCTGCTGGAGATGAAGGTGAGGATCCTCGCACAGGTGCAGCCTCTCCATGAGGAGATCCTGAGGCTCTTCCCGCAGGCTGCTCGGCAGGAAAGGTAAATGCACCTTTGGCCTCTTTGTCTTGGTCTTTAGTTGATTTTCAGTTATAGCGATGAGGAGTGAAGGCCTTTTCCTCTCATTCCTTTTGGGTCTGTTTTTGCTATTTATTTATTTGTTTATGTATTTTTGTATTTTAGGGAAGAATCTACAGAGTGTTCAGGGTCTCACTACTAGATAGGACTCATAGTGATCCTCCTGTTTACAGCCTCCCAAGAGCTGGGCTTACAGGGGTGCACCACCACGCCCAGTCTCAATCACCAGTCTCAGCATGCCCCGGGGATGGGGCTGGCACGGCAGGCCCAGGGATTGAACCCTGGGACCCTGAACCTGCTTGCAGGTGCTTTAATCCACTGAGCTATTTGGCCAGCCCTTGCTTTTTAATTTTGAGTGGTCAAATAACTAGACAAAGGTATCACTCTTAAGGCTGCAGCAGGAGGAAAATGAGATGGCAAAGTGCTGCCTTGGAGACTGAGGGGCATTCGTGGGCCCGGGAATGGGCCAGGTCCTAGTGTGTGCATGTGCTTATGGCATCTCCGTGGCCATTTCTGGATGGCAGAACCATCCCCGGGGATTGGAGCTTCCGTGTATAAACCCAGGACCACAGAAGCTGCATCAGTCAGAGCCCAGGGGTAACGACAGTTGAGGTTCAGGCAGGGTAGTAGGTTAAGTCATTTTTACTTAAATTCTCTTTTCTCCATGGTTTTGGTTTGGTTTGGTTTGGTTTGGGTTGGGTTTTTTCGTATTTTAGGACAAGGTCTACAGGGTCTCACTGCATAAATCAGACTATAGTGATCCGCCTGTGTTCAGCTTCCCAAGAGCTGGGATTACAGGCGCGCACCACCATGCCTAGTCTCAATTGCCTTCTCAGCGCACCCCCAAGGATAGGACCTGCGTGACACATCAGGGATTGAACCCTGACCACTACGTCTGCCTAAGCAGATGCTTTAATCTCCTGAGCTATTTGGCCAGCCCATTTCTTTTCTCCATGGTAAGGCCATGGAAAAATAGTTGTGTTTGGCTCCTTCTCAATCCTTACTGCTATTGATTTCTTCTGCTGTCTCCCAATCCTCCTCTTAGTAGATTGACCTCTGTTTTGTGTTTTTGTTTTTGTTGTAATGAAAGCTCACTTATACCACTCAGTTGACTCCAAGACCACACACACACACACACACACACACACACACGTGCATATTTAAACAAATTATTGCCATGACACTGGAAGAGAAATAGGTAGAAATCTTAAACACATAGATTGGGAAGACTGCATGAACAAAACCCAGACTGCATGGGAGATATTACAAAGAATCAACAACTTGAATCTCATCTGATTAATAAGCTTTGTCACCCCAGCACGGTGGTGCACGCCTGTAATCCCAGCACTTAGGAGGCTGAGACAAGACAATCGTTGCGAGTTCAAGACCACTCTGACTACAAAGTGAGCTCAAGGCCGGCCTGATCTGTACAACAAGAGCCTGTCTCAAAAACAAAAGCAAAACCAAAGATAAACAAACAAAAGAAGGTTTTATCAATCAATCAATCAATCAATCAATAAGAAAGGAATCACCAACAGAGTGAAACCCCTCAGAGTGGGAAAAATTTTTAGCCAGTTATCCATCGGATAGAATATATAAAGAATTGAAAAAAAAAAAATCAAGCCCCCAGATTCAAAGACCCAACCCAAAAATGGGCATCTAAGGTGAATATTCACTTCTCAGATGCAGCAATGCAAAGGGCAAGTAAATGTATGAAGATATGCTCAACATCATTGTTCACTGGAGAAATACAAATTAAAACAGCATTGGGAATCCATCTCATTCCTGAAAGCAGGGCTGTCATCAAGAAGTCAACCAATATTGAACGTTGGGGGGACTCTAGGGGAAAAGGAACCCTTCTCCACTGGGGGTGTGGGCTGGTGCGATCACTGTGGAAATCAGTGTGGATATTCTTCACAAAACTAGGATTAGTGGTCCCATTCAACCCAGCTGTTTCCCCTTTCTGGATATCTTCCTGGAAGCATTAAAAATATAATACTACAGTGATGTATGTCCATCCATGTTTGTAGCCGTGCAATTTGTCATAGCTAAATTTTGGAAACAGCCCAAATGCCCATCAACTGAGGAATAGATAAAAGCGATGTGGTCTTTTTATACAATGGAGTATTACTGAGCTATAAAAAAGGATAAATTCGAGAGACTTTTTAATGTAAATGGATGCTGCTTTAGACCATATTCATAAATGAAATAAATCAGACTCCCATCTGTAAACATCATAGTGCCTCCCTGGTGTGAGAGGCTGAAGGACTAAATAAGCTCCAAAACATACAATAGAAACTGTGAAATGAGAATAGATGGTTTAAAAGCAAAGAACAAGGATAGGAGAAAGAGAAAAGGAAGGGGGAAAATACCCCCCAAAACAAGATAGTCATACTACTAGTTTCTCTTAGTTTATTGAAAAGAAAGGTTTATGTGCATATCATTTGGAGAACTTTTATGCCCATATCTTGTACTTTGAGTAATGACTTTGAAGATGACAATATGTAATGTATTAATTCTTGTTATTCATCTATTTTGTCTTGAAATTTTGTTTCACTTTTTGCCATAAAAAATGATAATTTTCCTTTTAAGATACAACAGCAAGGGTCAACAAAATAGCTCAGAAGATTAAAGTTCCTGCAAGCAGGGGCAGAGTTGGGGGTTCAATCCCCTGGACCTGCCATGCTGGCCCTGCCCCTGGGGCATGCTGAGATGGCGATCGAGACTGGGCGTGGTGGCGTGGGCCTGTAATCCCAGCTCTTGGGAGGCTGTAAACAGGCAGATCACTGTGAGTCTGATCTAGTAGTGAGACTCTGAACACCCTGTAGACCTTTCCCCCAAAATACAAAAAAATACAAAAAAATAAAATAAAATTGGACACAGCAGCAGAGACTTTAACCTGGAAATCAGAGCTCAGCCTCATTGTTCACTTCACAGGTTCTCCTCCCTGATGGTGTATAAGCTACCGATGGAAGATGTGCAGCCTTTATCGCAGACTTTCTCCAAATTAGAGACAGGTAAGTGACTGTTTAGAGCTCAGACTCAGAAATACAAAAAAAAAACCCAAGTCAGTCTTAAAGTACACATGAACATAGAGTTGTAATTTTGTTTTATCATAAATAAATTACGAAGATGTCCAATGTAGTGGTTCTCAGAAAGGGATAATTTGACAAAGGGTAGGAATAATTTTTTTTTAATTTTTTATTTATTTTTTATTTATTTGAGAGAGAGAGAGAGAGAGAGAGTGGTGTGTGTGTGTGGCCAGCTCAGCCCACCAGGGGGCGGGGCTGGCTGGCATGTGGTGCTGGGGGATTGAACCGCGGTCCCTGATGCTTTGCCAAGCTTGTTCTAAGTAGGTGCCCCAGACCACTGAGCCATCTCTCCAGCCCCAAGGGTAGGAATAATTAGCCCTCGCTACTGGGGGCAGGGAGACAGGGCACAGCAGGCATCATGTGGTTAGAGACCCAGGAGGATGTTAGCTAGCCTGCAGTGCCAATCAGTCCCTGCAGGGAATCAGTTGGACCAAACTGCCATCAGAGCTGAGGTTGGGAGCTGTGCCCTGGCTCAACAAGTTCTGCAGGAGGAAGAGACAATTGCCATTCAGAAATGGAGTGTCCAGAAATGTGTACAAACCAAAAAATATGAATTTGTTTGTGTTTTGAGGTATTCTTGGATAGCACTGGGTACCGAGGAGATGGCTCCTCTCTGCTGGAATGAGCTAATCGGTGGCTCGTTTTAGGCACTTGGTCTTCATGCATCACACTCATTGCACGTGGTTTAGTTTGTACCTGTCCTGCCAGGGGCCCTAACCCTCATGAGGTGCACACTCGCAAAACCATGCGGACTTCAGGCTTCCCAGTTCCTAAGGAGAAAGCTTGGTTCTCTGGGAAGGTTTAGTGTTCTAGAGCCATCACTTTCTCCCCATGGCCAGCTTGCATCATTCCTGTGGGAAGGATTTCCACAGTGGTGTCTCAAGTATTTTGTATGAATTAGCAGCAGAAATGTTGCGAAACACTGCTCCCCAGAACACAATTGAATCTTGCTTTAAGAGACTTCTTCTGTTTCTGCTTTTAAAAATCTTCTCTTCTATCCCAAATTGCTGTTCTGCATCTGCTTCATTTCCTAAAACCGAGGTTTTCATGTGAGGTAAAAGAAGAACCTTTTAATCATAACTTCCCACTCTGTGATATGAACATGCCACAGACATACAAAATGCAGACACCTGAGCTGGAATTCTTTCTCACACTGTTACTAGACGTCATTACGTCCTCAGCAACGATCTTTACATTTATAGAATGGACTACGTCCAGTGCTGTAGGCAAAGTGCACGTCCCGTGGTACTTCCTTTTCTGGGTGCCTAAATTCTTCTTCTGTAGCAGGTCATATTTGCATTATGCAAACTGCAGCAAAAGCTGAGGGTTACACGCCTCTTCCAGGGCAGATTTGCCTCCTGCTTGGAGAGCTGCAGCCGGAAAGCTGACATGGTCCATTTTAATTATTCTTTCCTCCTCTTAAATGAGAGGCCAATGTCTTGGGCCTCTTCAGGGTGGGATGAAAGCAGAAGGGCGAAGAGAAAACAAGGAGCAAAGGTTGTTTGCCGGAGTTGCGATGTGATGGCAGGGTCCCCTTGTAAGAGTGCAGTTACGGGGCAGCTTCGCAAGGCTACTAACAGGAAGACAGTTGTCACCTCGGTTTGAAGGCACACAGCACAGAAGGGGTGATGGGAACCTGGGAGTGGACTCGTGCAGATTTGCCGCCTTGACACTCATAGTCACCTTCTGTTGACGGGTGCACTTGGTGTCAGGGAGGAAGGGAAGGAGTAAGTGCCGTGAGCTCCCTTGTCCCTTGTCCCCTTGCCGGGCTTTCCATCATAGCATCTACCAGAAGACCTCTCTTAGGACAGCCACTGGAGACGAGTGAGGGCGGGAACAGAGACACACGTGGTGGTTTTCCAGTTCAGTAGAAACCGTCCCTTAGCTCCAGGAATGTCCTGGAGCTTTGGATAGGGATTTCCGAACTGCTGGTGCTTCATCAAGGCTCTAAGGAGACGGGGGACAGTAGTTCTGTCCTGCTGAGCTATTGACAGTGCATTTGTATTTCCAGATTTGGTACGAAAATATTTGTTGTCCTGTTTTATATTTAAGGCTATATTTTGACTATGACAAAGTAAAATTCTCTCTCTCTCTGCCTTTCTCTCCTCTCTTTCTCTCTTTTCTCTCTCCTGTCTCTCTCCCCTCTGTCTCTCTTTCCTCTCTCCTCTCTCCTCCCTCTCCTCTTTCTCTCTCTCCTCACTTTCTCTCTATCTCTCTCTCTCCTGTCTTTTTCTCTCTTCTTTTTCTCTCTCCTCTCCTCTCTCCTCTGTCTCGGTGTCTCTTTTTCCTCTCTCTCCCCTCTCCCCCTCTCTCCTCTCTCTCCCTTCTCTCTCTCCCCTCTCTCCTCACTCTCTCCCCTCCTCTCTCTCTCTCTCTCTTTCTCTCTCTCTCTCTCACACACACACACACACACACACACTCTCCCATCCATCTTTGTGCAGTTAAACAGAACTTTGACCTGGAGGAGTACAGCCTCTCACAGTCTACCCTGGAGCAGGTGGGTCCCCTTCATTGGGCTTCTATCCCCATGAAATACAAGGGCCTGCATGGCTACCTTCTGCCCGTGGTTGGAGCTGCAGAAGCTAGCCTGGTGCCCCTTGCCTTCCTTCCTGCTCCTTCTCCTTCCTTCCTGCTCCCTCTTCTCCCTTCCTGCTCCTTCTCCTTCCTTCCTGCTCCCTCTCCTTCCTTCCTGCTCCTCCTCCTTCCTTCCTTCTCTCTCTCCTCCCTTCCTACTCTCTCTCCCCTTTCAGGTGTTCCTGGAGCTCTCCGAAGAGCAGGAGCGGGGTGACTTTGACGAGGACCAGGATCCCTCTGTGAGGTGGACGCTCCTCCCACCAGAAGAGGCTTAAGGCCTCCCATGTCCTGCTTCTCTTCAAGCTTTGTGAGACAGACATCTCTAGCACTAATAGGCCCCATCTCAGATGCAGCATGAACTACTTTGGAAACTCATGTCATAATTCTTTCAATAATGTCATGAGGCTGCTGGGCGAAGTAAGGAAGAGCATTGATGGGGCCTGCGATAGACCGAGCTGCACAGCCCATGTCACAGGGTTAATTTAAAGTAGCATTTGTGACACTTTTGTTTACCTGTCTGAGGGTGCTACAAAGCCTGCCTGCTTTCCTTTCCATGGACCTAAACATATTGAATATTTTCTTATCTTTTTTATTAAGTAAAGTATAAAATCCAACATATTATTGGCAAGAAAGGAAGCTGGTTACCCATTAACTTAGATTGGTTCCTTGTTGTTTTCTTCTCCTAACTAGTTCTCTTAACTAGTTCTTTTTCCCTGAATTTTAGAAATTATTTTCAGACTGTAGTTTGTAGAATATTGGCTTTTATTTTCTATTATAACTATAAATAAAACTGAAACCTATTAAAATGCGTACTTGTGAGCTAGAGCGAGATAGCTCAGCAAACTAAGCACCTGCTTGGGCAAGCGCAGGAACCAGGGTTTGATCATCCGTCCCGCATGCCGCACCAGCTCCGCCCTGGGGGCACGCCGAGCCAGTGACCAAGTCCAGGCTTGGTGGTGTGTGTCTGTAATCCCAGCACTGGGGAGGCTGAAAACAAGAGGACCACTATGAGTCCAGGCTGCATAGAGAAACCCTGCACCAAACACACAGATGAAAAGACCGATAAATAAATCATAAAATAAAAATAGCATGCATACTTACAATATGGGTTTTAAATGTTCCAGTTAAGGAAACATAGTATGATGTATTTTTATGTTCAAATTTTAAATCTCCCCTACATATGATAGATCCCGCCCGTATATATGGAAACCTTCCCTATGTACATACATGTGTATATGTACATAGGGAAGGTGTTGCTACGTGTGGAAGGTTGTGCTCTCACATACAGCACTAGTGCTTCCCTATTTCATCATCTGTATATAGCTGCTTGCCTTGTAACACCTTAAAATCAATAAATAAACTTGCACAAGTACCCTTTCCTTTGTTATTACCAGTTACTACTGCTTGCTAACTGAACATTCGAAGGCAATTATGTGAAAAAGCTTCATTGTTTATTCCAGTGTTTTTTGCATCTTTGTCATTCATGAAAATGACACACACATGACACCAGTCTGCTCACACGAGAGCTTGAACAAAGGGCCCCAGATTTCTTTTCTTTTCTTTTTCTTTTCTTTTTTTTTTTTTGGTACATGAACATGACAATAGGATTTTATTTGTTGCATAAAATCTGTCTTTCAAAGATAAGATGCCAAAATTACTGCCTGGGGGACATCCTGACAGAATCACCAGTAAAACTTCCAAATTTTATCAACATCTTAAGTCTCAGCCTTCCAGTGCTGTATTGGAGGGCGAAAGACACTTAATTTACTACTTTTTTTTTTTTT